AGACAGGGTTTCATCATGTTGGTCAGGTTGGTCTCAAACTCCTGACCTCAGGTGATCCACCTGCCTCAGCCTCCCAAAGTGCCACTGCGCCTGGCCTGTCTGCTCATTTTCTACTATTAATCACCTTATATATGTTATATGAAATCTCTTATTTAACAGTTTTTTCCTCCAGTTAAATTCTCATAGATGCCACTAACAGATTAACTTACTTAAAATATCTTTTACATGACCATGGAAACTTAAAAAGTTCCCACTGCCTCTGAAAATACAAAGTTCAAACTGAAGCCCTCCCACAATCCCAGAACTATATACCATGTATACCTAAATTTCCCTCTAGAACAACCAAGTCAACAGACAAAGCAATACATGATCCTTGGCTGCATGTGGTGGCTCACGCCTGTAATCCCAGCATTTTGGGAGGCTGAGGCAGGCAGATCACTTGAGGTCAGGAGCTTGAGACCAGCCTGGCCAACATGGTTAAACCCCCATCTCTACCAAAAATATAAAAATTAGATGGGTGTGATGATGGTGCATGCCTGTAATCCCAGCTACTTGGGACGCTGACGCAGGAGAATCACTTGACCTGGGAGGTGGAGGTTGCGGTGAGCCGAGACTGCACCACTGCACTCCAGCCTGGTTGACAGAGCAAGATGTCATCTCAAAAAACAAAGACAGGATCCAATGTAGATTTAAAGATATCAGCAAACTTTTAGTGACTGTATTTACTGGGTATAAAAGGTAGGGCCTCTGGAAGGCATTGGGAAGATGGTCTTCAGTCTCAAATCTCTAGTTTTACAGAACAGCCAGACATGGACATAGAAAGCTAACATTAGAAGGTATCTGTCCCATAAACCAGAGTGTAAACATACTTATTGTTTGGAGGAGTGCTGAAGGAAGGGCTTAAGCTGGGCCTTGAGTGACTAGAATGGACAACTACCAAAGAAAAAGAAGAGAAACCAAAACCTAAAATGCAATTTAAAAAGTCAATAATAATAATTTAAAAAAAAAAAAGCAAAAAGGGCTTTCACAAATGACCTTAGTCAGAAAACCACCTGGGATTCTTTGACTACTGAGCTTCTCTCATTTGGTGTCTAAGAGACTCAGAAGGAAAAAAGCTGTCTGATTAAGTAGCTCTGGATTTTTGCTTTGTTTTGTTGTTGCTGCTGTTGTCATTGCTGTTGTATTGATTTTGTATGAAATATATCATGCTCAAAAGGCAAAGGCTATTATAAAGTTCAAGTTCCCATCGCCCAAGTCTAACCAACATGAACCTTTCCATAGTTGTTTTATATCTTTCTGTGAACAAATAAAACATTACAAATGCAAAAAAAAAAAGAAGAAAAAAAAGAAGAGAAATAGAAAACTACCAAAAAAAAAAAAAAGGAAGTAGGGTGGAGGGGGCAATGGATACTGTTAAAAAGAGGTCTTGTTCAACTCAACATCTACTGAGCACCATGTGCCAAACAGAAACTAAGTATTCTCCATGAAACAGGAGTGAAGGCAAGAACTTTTCTTGGCTCTTAAGCCAGCCCCTTCTTCAAGTAGACATTTGGGGACTGACACATAATAGGCATTCAAAACATTAAATGAATGACAGAATTTCACTACTAGCTAAATAGAAGGGCAGAAGAAAAGGGATTATTCCATTATGGAAATAAAAAATGAACTTCAGGCCAGGCACAGTGGCTCATGCCTGTAATCTCAGCACTTTGGGAGGCCGAGGCAGGTGGATCACCTGAGGTCAGGAGTTTGAGACCAGCCTGGCCAACATGGTGAAACGCTGTCTCTACTAAAAATATAAAAATTAGCCAGGCATGGTAGTGTGTGTCCATAATCCCAGCTACTTGGGAGGCTGAGGCAGAATTGCTTGGACCCAGGAGGCGGAGATTGCAGTGAGCTGAGATTGTGCCATTGCATTCCAGCCTAGGTGACAGAGCAAGACTCTGTCTCAAAAAGCAAAAAAAAAAAAAAAAAAAAAAGGCACTTTGGAGCTTCTGTATAATCATGTGCCACATAATGACATTTCACTCAAGGTGGGACTGCATACAAGATGGTGTTCCCAGAAGATTATAATGGCTGGGCATGGTGGCTTACACCTGTAATCCTAGCACTTTGGGAGGCCGAGGCAGGTGGATGGATCACTTAAGGTCAGGAGTTTGAGACCTGCCTGGTTAACATGGTGAAACCCTGTCTATACTAAAAAAATACAAAAATTAGCTGAGCATGGTGGCATGTGCCTGTAGTCCCAGATACTCAAAAGGCTGAGAAAGAATTGCTTGAACCCGGGAGTCAGAGGTTGCAGTGAGGGAAGGAAGGAAGGAAAGGAGGGAGGGAAGGAGGAAGGAAGGATAATGGAGCTGAAAAATTCCTATCACCTGGTGACCTCATAGTCCTGTAGTGTAACACATTACCTTTTCTATGTTTAGATACACACATACTTACCATTGTCTTACAAATGCCTATGATAGTTAGTATAGTAACATACTATCCAGGTTTGCAGTCTAGGAGCAGTAGGCTATACCATATAGCCTAGGTGTGTAGTAGGCTACACCATCTAGGTTTGTATAAGTACACTCTGTAATATTCACACAATGATGAAATTCCCTAACTATGCATTTTTCAGAATGTATTCCTGCTGGTAAGCAATGTATAACTGTATCTGGAAATGTTATGAAAGTTATAAGGCATCATTATTTATAAATGTTCAGCTAGTTATCATACAGAAATATAACACCAGAATACTCTACTCCTGATTCAATCACTTGTCTAAATACAGCCAGAGTGATTCTTTTATTTTTTTGAGACAGAGTCTCACTCTGTCGCCCAGGCTGGAGTGCAATAGCGTGTTCTCAGCTCACCGCAACCTCCAACTCCCAGGTTCAAGCAATTATCCTGCCTCAGCCTCCCAAGTAGCTGGGATTACAGGTGTGCACCACCACACCCGGTTAATTTTTGTATTTTTAAGTAGAGACCAGGTTTCACCATGTTGGTCAGGCTGGTCTCGAACCCCTGACCATGTGATCCGCCTGCCTCAGCCTCCCAAAGTGCTGGGATTACAGGTGTGAGCCACCGTGCTCGGCTCAGAGTGATTTTCAAAACACAGATCTAAACACGTCACCCCTTACTTAAATTCTTCAATGGCATCCCATTTTTCTTAGGATAGACAAATTCCTTCACAGGCATATAAGAACTTGACTGGCCTGATTCCTATCAATCTATCCAGTCTTTTCCACTAGACCCCAGCATCACTTTTTATTCTCATTTTTCCTGCTGTAGTTAAGTCTTACTTACCATTCAGGTCTCAGCTCAACTGTCACTTGCTAGAGCAAAGTCTCCCATTATGGTTACTCATAGTAACTGGCACTTCTTTAGGGCATTTATAACAGTTTTAGTTTTACATCTGTGTGATTAATATCAAGCTGTATCACAGACCATAAACTCTAAAAATGCAGAGATTTTACCTTAAAATGTTCTGTGTTCCGTAATATGTTATTTAATAAAAAATTTCCATACATGTATAATTTTAAATACCTCTAGCCTAAGAGATAAATCCAGGAATAGTAGCATTTACCCTCCAAGGCATTACTATTTTTTTTTTTTTTTTTTTTTTGAGACAGAGTTTCGCTTTTGTTACCCAGGCTGGAGTGCAATGGCACATTCACGGCTCACCGCAACCTCCATCTCCTGGGTTCGAGCAATTCTCCCACCTCAGCCTCCCGAGTAGCTGGGACTACAGGCGTGTGCTACCATGCCCAGCTAATTTTTTTGTATTTTTAGTAGAAATGGGGTTTCACCATGTTGACCAGGATGGTCTCGATCCCTTGACCTCGTGATCCATCTGCCTCAGCCTCACAAAGTTCTCGGATTACAGGCGTGAGCCACCATGCCCGGCCGGCATTACTATTTTAAGGCCCATAAAACAGGCCAGGCATGGTGGCTCATGCCTATAATCCCAGCACTTTGGGAGGTCAAGGCAGTTGAACCTAGCAGTTTAGACCAGTGTGTAAAACATGACAAAACCCCATCTCTACCAAAAAAACTCCACAAAAATTAGCGGGGCATTGTGGCATGTGCCTGTAGTCCAACTACTTGGGAGGCTGAGGTGGGAGGATTGATTGAGCCTGGGAGACTGAGGCTGCAATGAGCCATGATCATGCCACTGCACTCCAGCCTGGGTGACAGAATGAGAATCTATCTCAAAAAGAAAAATAAAAACACCTTTATTATGCATCAACAGCAGAAAAAAAACCCAAAAACCAATAAAACATCCATATTTAAACAGCAGCCTGATCATTCTGTCACTGTTTATCTGTAAAATATGAGTAACTTGAAAGATAAGTGAAAAACATACACAGTTTTCAAAACAAGTTATGGTATGTGTTAAATGCTAAATAACTGGTACCTATGAATAATAGTAAGTCCTATTTGTAATTAATTCATGTTTCTAAAACGCATTCCCCAAACTTTTTTTTTTTTTGAGACAGAGTTTCACTCTGTCACCCAGGCTGGAGTGCAGCGGCACGATCTTAGCTCACTGCAACCTTCACTGCCCGGGTTCAAGCAATTATCCTGCTTCAGCTTCCCAAATAGCTGGGATTACAGGTGCCTGCTACCACACCCAGCTAATTTTTGTATTTTTTAGTAGAGACAGGGTTTTGCCATGTTGGCCAGGCTAGTCTTGACCTCCTGACCGCAGGTGATCTGCCTGCCTTGTCCTCCCAAAGTGCTGGGATTATAGGCGTAAGCCACTGCCTGACCCCCAAACACTGATTTATGTAGTAACACTGAACAATTATGATGTTCTTTCAAGCTGGTTAAAAAAATTCTGAAGGGAGTAAAACAGATTCAAGAACTGTTACATCTTTTGTTACAATTTTTAAGGTGATTAGATCATTCTTAAGTTTCCTCCCATTATTTACTGTAACCCAGATTTCCTTATTATTTTGTAAGACATATATAAGCCATTATAACATGTATTTAAAATGGACAGATACATAAAATTTATCTTTAAATGCATATTTTGTATTTCAGTAGTCAATGACCATCAATCAAACAAAGGGAAAAAAACTAATTTCTTGAAGAAAGACAAGTCTATGGAGTGGTTTACAGGAAGTGAAGAATGAGATGGCTCAACTAAACCGGTCTGGAATAATTTACTATAAAATGTCAAACTAACTGCAAGACAAGTGTCAAATGGGATGTTTAAGCAGTTTTGCCATGTTGTACATCTTTATTTTGTTATTTTCAAAATTATATGTAAAAGTTATATAAGTCATAGTAATAGCTAAAAATACCAATCTATGAAAGTAGTAATTTTCAATGTAAAGTTCTATTTTGATATTTTTCCATCTTCAAGTCAGTTGCTGTCATCTGGAGTACTCAGTTAAGTTGTGGTTTGACCTTCCTCAACTTGATAAGGAAAGCTAATTTAAGAGAAGAAAAACGTAAAGTCATTATATTGATTAGAAGAAAAAACACCATTTAATATGGTCTGAAAACATTACTCACCTGTATGACCAACTTGCCAGTGTACTGGTCTAGCAATATAGGGAAATGATCCATATGGAAAATCAGAATGTGATTCTTCTGTTGTAAAAAATATATGTACTATAAGCTACATAAAATATTTTGTAATTTTTTTATAAAAACTGTTAAAATATGAATTACTCTCTTATAATAAAGTTTTTTCTCTCATTTTTTTCCTTTCATTTATTTTAGAGCTACTTTGCCAGTTACTTTAAACACAGAAACAATTTGTCAATGATTATATAATAAATATAGATGATTTTATAACCAAATGGATAAGCCCATATTATAAATCAATGGATACTTGAAAACATGTTCATGGCCTAAAAATGTGTATATACAAGAAAGACCTAAACTTACTTATTTCTAGAATTCCAGCAGCATCTTAGAAGTTGCTTTTTGGAATATTAGCTATTTGCCTATCAGGTCCCATTAAATTCATTCCCTTCAGTAATTATCACTTATCTAAATTTAAAATATCCTTAGCATATTTAAATTATTTCACAAGTCAAGCTCCTTGTGACAAGTAAAATATGAATACTGTAAAAAGCTCAATCCTAGGCCTGGTGCAGTGGCTCACACCTGTAATCCCAGCACTTCAGGAGGGCGAGGCGGGCAGATCACCTGAGGTCAGGAGTTCAAGATCAGCCTGGCCAACAAGGCAAAACCCCATCTCTACTAAAAATACAAAAATTAGCTGGGTGTGGTACACGCCTGTAGTCCCAGCTACTCAGGAGGCTGAGGCAGGAGAATTGCTTGAACCCAGGAAGTGGACATTTTAGTGAGCTGAGATCGTGCCACTGACAAAACTCAATTCTTCAAAGGTATGAGTTTTATGTAAAAGGCAGGAAAAGTCATTTTTCTGTCCCTTACATATTCTAGTAGAATAAAAATATCACACTTCAATTTCTATAGAAGATCACTGAGGAATATTTTCATAATCTATTCGTCAGGATACTCGGGAGCTCATTCTCCATTTATTACTGCAGCCATAAAGTAAAACTGAAGCTCACCATCGTCATCCTCTTCAAACAGCTCACCTTCAACTCCAATTTGCTCTTGAGAATGTAGTTGTACATTTGTGTTGATTTCAGGTTCTACTCTTTGAGGTAAAATTCCATTTTTCTGTTTTGCAAGGCAAACCAACCAATCTCTGACAATGACCTCACTTATCTTTTCACACGAAAGAGCAAGTTCACAGATGCGAATTCCATCTAAAAGTTCAATAACCTGTGTGATGCTTTCAGAAAAGTGAAAAATGTACTTTACGTTTCTACTAAAATGATAACATTACATTTATTTAAGTTCCCTATACCCTGTGTCCAAATTTAAATGCTATAGTTAAATTAAGGCAGGAGAAGGTTTAAATATGCAAGTTAGAAGGCAAAATAAGTACTTTCACAGATTTCTAGGTAAACAAATACAGAGACTACAACATTACTGATCAATCACATTATACTTTTAAAACTTTTCTCCCAGATTATCAGAAGAAAATATGCATCTTAAACAAAAAAAAAGGAAAAAAAGTTTTAAAAAAGATAAAAAAATAAAAAATAAAATAAAATAATAAAGAAAAAAGAAAAAGAAAATATGCATCTTATGTTACTATTTATGTAAAGAATGATTTAAACAGTAACATAGGGCCGGGTGTGGTGGCTCAGACCCGTAATCCCAGAACTTTGGGAGGCTGAGGCGGGCGGATCACTTGAGGTCAGGAGTTTGAGACCAGCCTGGCCAAAAGGGTGAATCCCCATCTCTACTAAAAATACAAAAATTAGTCAGGCATGGTGGCATGTGTCTGTAATTTCAGCTACTCAGGCGGCTGAGGCAAGAGAATCATCTGACCCTGGGAGGCAGACGTTGCAGTAAGCCGAGATCACAACACTACACTCCAGACTCGGTGACAAAGTAAGACTCCACATCAGAAAAAATAAAATAAAATAAAGTAAGTAATTAATTAATTAATTTAAAAAATTAAAACTAAATAAGCAGTAATATAAACGAACTTGGGACTTGTCATTTTATAACAGTTTCAAAAGATGCCACATACATTTCATTCAGTTACAAATGAGTATTTCGGCTAGGCACAGTGGCTCATGCCTGTAATCCCAGCACTTTGGGAGGCAAATGGGCAGACCACCTGAGGTCAGGAGTTTGAGACCAGCCTGGCCAACATGGTGAAACCCCATCTCTACTAAAAATATAAAAATTTAGCTGGGTGTGGTGGCAGGCGCCTATAATCCCAGCTACTTGGGAGGCTGAGGCAGGATAATTGCTTGAACCCAAGAGGCAGAAGTTGCAGTGAGCTGAGATCATACCACTGCATACTACAGCCTGCATGACAGAGTAAGACTCCATCTCCAAAAAAAAAAAAGAATATCTTAGTTTGGTGCTTAAGCAAAAGTGCATTTCAAAGTCACATTACAAAGAAAAACAGTTCTGTTACTCACTTTGCTAGATATACAGCACATACACCACCATGCTTAAGATGTGGGTAAAAAACAGGCAAAGCAACATGAGGATTTAACATATCCAAAGCTACCTGTGTGGGGGAAAAAGAGAACTGGATCAGTCTGATTCTCTTTAAATAAAGTATAAGTTTTCTTACTGCGGCGAAATGACACACTTTTGGAAAGCAATTACTCAAAATTATTTCATTTTTTAGAATGTTGTATTATTAACTATCATTTTACCATTCCCAAAAGGATATGTTAGTTATTATACAGCTGGGCCAGGTGGCTCATGCCTATAATCCCAATACTTTGGGACGCTGAGGCAAGAGGATCCATTTGAGGCCGAGTTTGAGACCAGCCGAGGCAAAATAGTGAGACCCTGACTCTACCAAAAAAAAAAAAAAAAAAAAAAAAAATTAGCTGGGTGCCGTGGCGCAAGCCCACAGTTCCAGCTACTCAGGAAGCTGAGGCGGGAGGGTCACTGGAGCCCAGGAGTTCGAGGCAGTAGTGACTTATGACTGTCCCATCACACTCCACCCTGGGCAAGAGTGAGATCCTGTCTCAGGGAAGAAAAAACAATTTGGCATAGTACTTGATACTGAAAAATCAAAATGATACGTCTTGTACTTGGCAATATTAATACGGAAATATTCATTAGGCTATGTATGTATATATGGATATAACCAAAGAAAGATTCCTGTATTCCTGTATTATCAATATTGCCAAGTGTAAACATGTCATTATAACATAAAAAATTAAAACATTTAAGACAATGTGAATTTATATATTTGTGAATATATATTTGGTTTTTCTTTTTTGTTTTTTGGTTTTTTTTTTGAGACAGAGTTTCACTCTTGTTACCCAGGCTGGAGGGCAATGGCACAATCTCGGCTCACCGCAACCTCCGCCTCCTGGGTTCAGGCAATTCTCCTGCCTCAGCCTCCTGAGTAGCTGGGATTACAGGCACGCGCCACCATGCCCAGCTAATTTTTTGTATTTTTAGTAGAGACGGGGTTTCACCATGTTGACCAGGCTGGTCTCGATCTCTCGACCTCGTGATCCACCCGCCTCGGCCTCCCAAAGTGCTGGGATTACAGGCTTGAGCCACCGCGCCCGGTCTTCTTTTTTGTTTTTTTGAGATGGAGTCTTGCTTTGTTGCTCAGGCTGAAGTGCAGTAGCACGATCTTGGCTTACTGGAACCTCCACCTCCCAGGTTCAAGCGTTTCTCCTGACTCAGCCTCCTGAGTGGCTGGGATTGCAGGCGCCCACCACCATACCTGGTTAATTTTTGTATTTTTAGTAGAGACGGGGTTTTGCCATGTTGGCCAGGCTGGTCTCGAACTCCTGACCTCAGGTGATCCACCTGTCTTCGCCTCCCAAAGTGCTGGGATTACAGGCATGAGCCACCACACCCAGCCCAGAATTATGTTTTAGGAAGATTAATTTCGAGATGAGGGGACTGGATTAGAAGAGGGAAGGCCCAAGAGGTGAGATGGCAGCTAGGAGAAGAATTAAGCAGACAAAGGGAGCAATTAAAAAAAAACGGTGGGAATGTGAAAAGAAATGTATATGCAACATATGCCTTTTGATCTTTGATCAAACACCTACCCACAAGCAGTACTCTTACCAATGCGCAATTTTTATAAATGTTCTTAAGAAAATTATTCATGATCTAGCTTCTATTTAACAGTTCTGTATTATATTTATGAACACCAACTATAATTCTTTGGCCCTAACAGTTTATAACTCTCCCCCAGTAGCTGACACCCCTCCTCCTTCTCTAGTCCTTCATATTGAGTAATCATCTGGCACTATTATTCAAGAGAGATTAACTGAATAAATCTAAAAAGGCGTATTCTTTTTAGATCAGGAATGGTTCAGCAGGCTTCTACAAAGCTTCAATGATATCATTAAAATCCTTTGTTGTGTTTCATGCTCATCAAGCAAAATTCTGACGATCAACTTAATCTCCCAGGTATTTCTGACATCCCTATGGATGACCTAACAGAGCCTTTTCCCTCTTATTGAGCTGTAACATGCCACCCAAAGATGACAAAAAAGAACTGAGGTTTTTGTGTCCAGTAAGCTGTGCCACTAAAACTATAGGCTTTAGTTATATCAGAGCTAGAAGCCAGTGTTGATAAAAATCATTTTCATGGCTAGGCACAGTGGTTCACATCTGTAATCCCAGCACTTTGGGAGACTGAGGCAGGCAGATTACCTGAGGTTAGGAGTTCAAGACCAGCCTGGCCAACATAGTGAAACCCCATCTCCACTAAAAATACACAAATTAGCTGGCCATGGCGGCATGCACCTATAAGCCCAGCTACTTGGGAGGCTGAGGCAGGATAATTGCTTGAACCTGGGAGGTGGAGGTTGCAGTGAGCTGAGACTGTGCCACTGTATCCAGCCTGAGCAAGAGTGAGACTCTGTCTCCCAAAAAAAAAAAAAAAAAAGATTTTCTCTGCTCTTTGAACTTTCGAACTTTGCTTCATTTCTCACCAAAATAGTCCACCCTTCCAGCAGCCAACTAAGGAAAGCAAGGAAGACTCCTGACCAAGGCCTCAGTCCGTAGTGTGAAGCTAAGAACTGAAGTGGCATCACTAAAGATAGGGCAACTTACACTGGAATTCTGAAACTCTGAAGCCAGCAAATACCTCCGTGTATCAGATCTCCACCATGTTTGATCATAGCTTGTCATCTATCTTTTTTTTCCTTTTTGAGATGAAGTTTCACTCTTGTGGCTTAGGCTGGAAAGCAATGGCACAGTCTCAGCTCACTGCAACCTCCGCCTCCCGGGTTCAAGCAATTCTCCTGCCTGAGCTTCCCGAGTAGCTGGGATTATAGGCAGGCGCCACCATGCCCAGCTAATTTCGTATTTTTAGTAGAGAATGTTGGTCAGGCTGGTCTTGAACTTCCGACCTCAGGTGATCCACCTGCCTCGGCCTCTCAAAGTGCGGGATTACAGGTGTGAGCCACCACGCCTGGCCTCTTGTCATCTTTTGACCTTCATCTACTCTGCTTCTTTTCCCTAAGTCAACCTCCTACTATTTCTCTTCCTCACAATCTCTCTGCTCCACTTTCTGGAGCTTTGTTCATGACAAACACCTCTGTCCTTGACATCTTCAATGAACACACTGCCCTTACATCCTGACTTTAACTGTCTAAAGCTTTCTGCCTATTTCCTATCAAATGGAAGCTACTTATTTCCCCAAAATCTCACAATTCAGGTTAGGTGCTGGGTTCAATATGCTTCCAATGCTGCTTCCAAAGTACGATTTCTTTCTTTCTTTCTTTAGTTTTTTTTTCCCTGAAACTGATATCATAGGAGCCATGAAGTAGAATTTCTTTATCCTGGGAACGCTGGGGTTCATGGTGCTCAACTAGCCTTTGGTTGTAGTTTTTGATCATTATCCCACAATTATTGATAAATTTATCACCCAACTTGCTAACTCAGTATGTCTCTCTGCCCCAAATTCCATCATGAGATTAAAAGGCATGGAACAAAAATATTCTTTCCATCCCTAGAGATAGACATGAAGCAAATAAAGAAAGACCCTTGCCCATACAAAAGAAGCCTGACCCCTATTTTCTTTGCAGTCAAAGTATAATGCAGGACCCATGTTGGAAAACTTACTGCATCAAATGTTAAAGATTTTATGTCTTCAGCCGCTCTTGAGAAATCCTTATGAATAAAATCCACATTGTCTGGCCACTCTTCTACATGACTTAATTTCCATGAATCACGCCAGTGTTTGTAATTCTTCTTAGCCAGATTATGGTGGTCTTTTCGTACCTCAAAACTTATGACTCGTCCTTGTGATCCAACTTAAATAAAAAATAATTTGATATTTCATAGTATTAATCATTTTATTAAAAAGAGTCAAAAATGTATTTTGCAAAGGTACTACATGTATGTGAAAAAAACTCAAATAGTTCAATGTTACGAGTCTTCCTCCCATCCCTGATCCCCAATTAATCTTCCTCTTCAGAGGCAACCACATTACCAGTTACTTACCCCTCCCATGATAGTCACTGCCCATACAAGCATGCAAGTATCTCTCTCTGTTCTTAATACACATTGTGGTGTATTATACACACTGTCTCGTACCTTCCTTCTTACTAATGTCATTTCAGTGATTCTAGATGTACTGCATTCTTTTTTTAAAAATTTGCATTCTTTTAAACAGCCATTATATCCAGGGGTATGGCTATGATGAACATTTAGCTTGTTTCTAGTCATATGCTAATACCAACAATACTACAATGAAAATTCTTGTACCTAAGTCTTTGTATCAAGCTAGTATATCTCTACAGGATAAAGTCCTAAAAATGGAATTGCTGGCTCAAGGGGTATGTGAAGTTATTCATATAATATTAAATTGTCCTCCACATAAGTGGTATCAACTTATATGCCAACCAGCAGTGTATTAGAATACCTGTATCTCTATACTCTTCCTGACAAAGAGTTATCGAACTTTTTATCTGTGTCAATCTAAAAAGTGAATAAAGTTTACATTTTTAATGTAGATTTTTGAGTTTTGCTTCATTTTTTCTTGAGACAAGGTCTCACGCAGTCACCCAGGTTAGAGTGTGGTAGTGGAATCACAGCTCACTGCAACCTCTGCCTCCCAAGCTCAAGCAATCCTCCCAAATCAGCCTCCTGGGTAGCTGGGACAACAGGTGTGCCCCACCACACCCAGCTAATTTTCTTATATTTTTGGTAGAGACAGGTTTTCGTCATGTTGCCTGGGCTGGTCTCAAACTCATAAGCTCAAGCAATCTGCCTGCCTCGGCCTCCCAAAGTGCTGGGATTACAGACGTGAGCCACCACGGTCAGCCTTTTAATGTAGTTTTTAACTTGCATTTCTTTTATTATGGGAGGGGACATGAGGAGGCGTCTGTGGGGCAGGGACACTCCCTACCTTGATCTGGGTAGTAAGTACATGAGTGGTCACTATACAAAGATTCATTAAGGTATACACTTATGATCTGCACACTTTTCTGTAGCTATGTTATATTCCAATAAAAAGTATACTTAAGAAAAAAGCAGCAGCATTAGAGAGCATGGAGGAAACAAGACAGAGCCAAGAAAATGGAAGGAAGATTAGAAAGAGACTGACTGGAAGGGCCAGGCATGGTGGCTCATGCCGTAATCCCAGCACTTTGGGAGAACAAGGCGGGCAGATCACAAGGTCAGGAGTTTGAGACCAGCCTGCCCAACATGGTGAAACCTGTCTCCACTAAAAATACAAAAACTTAGCCAGGCGTGGTGGTATACACCTGTAATCCTAGCTACTCAGGAGGCTGAGGGAAGAAGAGAATCACTTGAACCCAGGAGGTGGAGGTTGCCGTGAGCTGAGATTGTGTCACTGTACTCCAGCCTGGATAACAGAGCAAGACTTCATCTCAAAAAAAAAAGAAAAGAAAAGAAAGAGACTGACTGGAATAAATGCACAAAATGGAAAGAAAGACAGTTGTGGTCGGGCATGGTGGCTCACGCCTGTAATCCAAGCACTTTGGAGGCCAAGGCGGGCAGATCACCTGAGGTCAGAAGTTCAAGACCAGCCTGACCAACATGGTGAAACCCATCTTAATTTAAAAAAGAAAGAAAGAAAGAAAGAAAGAAAAACGGTTGCTCACATTCAGTTTCTACGAGAATGCTATCTCAGTATTAGGCATTTTCCCCAAATACCGTTATAACTTTCTGTTATTATGAATGAACAAATTGAATATTTTCTTTGTTATCGAGATCCAGCTCAATCCAATCTCTTACCTGCTTTGGATAAAAATAAGCTCATTCCACCAGAGCCTGAGCCAGCTTCCAAAACAGTATCACCTGGGTTTATATCCATCATTGAGAGAATCATATTAATATCCTGTGAATAAAAACAGTATGGGTGACTCAGAGACCAATAAATATGTACTAAGCACCTAGTCTTATCTTACACTGGGGGATTCGGAGAAGCAGGGAGTGAAAAACAAATTAGACTCTGGACCTGCCTACAGAGTTTATATTTTGCTTAACGAAATGAGAGATCCAAGAATCAATTAACAAATAATGCAACACTTCAGAATAATACCAAAATTACAGACAATACGTTCAGGAGGCGCTCAGAGAAAGGAGAAAGCAGCAGGATGGCCGAATTTAAAGACAAAGATTATACAATTTATGGGAACAACCACAAGGTAAAAACAGCTTTAAACAAAGCAGAGGTAGAATGAGCCCAGTTTGTTCATCTCAGGAGAGATAGGGAAAGAACTAAACGCCAGTATAAGGCATTAGAACTCGGCCCGGTAAGCAACTGAGATATTTCACTGAGGTGACATAAATGGGTATGAGAAAAATCTGGCAGAAGAAATATAGGATCTACTAGAGAAAAACCAAGAGGCAGGAAGACCAGTTAAGAATTTACTATATAATCTCTGCATAAAATGATGTACTTCCCATTTATTTGTGTATTTATTTACGAGACGGAGTCTTGCTCTGTCGCCCAGGCTGGAGTACAGTAGAGTGATCTCAGCTCACTGCAACCTCCACTTCCCGGGTTCAAGCAATTCTCTTGCCTCAGCCTCCTGAGTAGCTGGGATTACACGCACCTGCCACCACACCTGGCTAATTTTTATATTTTGACTAGAGATGGAGTTTCACCAGGTTGGCCAGGCTGGTCTCGAACACCTGACTTCAGGTGATCTGCCCGCCTCACACTCCCAAAGTGCTGGGATTACAGGCATGAGCCACCGTGCCTGGCCAAATGATGAAGTTCTAATTTAGAATTAAGACACTACATAGCAGCGGTCCCCACCTTTTGGCACTAGGGACTCGTTTCGTGGAAGACAATTTTTCTACAGATGAAGATAGTTCCACCTCAGATCATCAGGCATTAGTTTCTCATAAGAAGTGTGCAACCTAGATCCCTCTCGTGTGCAGTTCACAACAGAGTTTGCACTCCTATGAGAATGTAATTCCATGGCTGATCTGACAAGAGATGGAGCTTAGGCGGCAATGCTCACCACCCACTGCTAACCTGCTGTGTGGCCCAGTTCCCTGTTACAGGCCACGCACTAGTACCAATCCTCCGCCTGGGGGTAAGGGAGCCCTGCTATATAAGAAAAAAAAATAGACTATGCTAGAAATAGATCAGAGGACCCGTTTGCCAAACATATAATTGGAAGAATTGTTTTTGTTAACACAACAGGAATATCATGGATGACAGTAATAACAGCTGTTTTTTAAATTAAAAAAAAAATTTTTTTGAGACAGAGTCTTAACTGTTGCCCAGGCTAGAGTACAGTGGTGCCGTCTTGGCTCACTGCAACCTCCGCCTCCTGGGTTTAAGCGATTCTCCTGCCTTAGCCACCTGAGTAGCTGGGACTACAGGCACGTGTCACCACGCCCGGCTAATTTTTTGCATTTTTGGATAGAGACAGGATTTCACCATGTTAGCCAGGCTGGTCTCAATCTCCTGACCTTGTGATCCGCCCACCTCAGCCTCCCAAAATGCTGGGATTACAGGCGTGAGCCACCGTGCCCAGCCTAAAATTTATTTTAAAAATTATTTTGATGACAGGATCTCACTCTGCTGCCCAGACTGGAGTGTAGCGGTACAACAGCAGCTTGCTGCATCCTTGAACTTCTGGGCTCAAGCAATTCTCCCACCTCAGCCTCCCAAGTAGCTGAGACTACAGGCATGTACCACCATGCCAGGCTAATTTTTAAATTTTTACTTTTTATAGAGATGGGGATCTGCTATAATAGTTCAGGTTAGTCTTGAACTCACACCTCCAGCAATCCTCCTGCCTTGGCCTCACAAAGCACTGATATTATAGATGTGAGTTACTACACCTACCCCCCAACATTGTTTTTGAGACAGGGGCTTACACTGTTGCCCAGGCTGTAGTGCAGTGGCAAGATCATGGCTCATTGCAGCCTCAAACTCCTGGGCTCAAGCGATCCTCCCGTATCAGCCTCCTGTGTAGCTAGGACAACAGGTGTGTGCCATCACACTGACTAATTTTTTATTTTTTCTAAAGACAAGGTCTTCCTGTTGCCCCAGCTGGTCTCAATCTTCCAGGTTCAAATTATCGTCCTACCTCAGCCTCCCAAAATGCTGAGATTACAAGCGTGAGCCATTGCACTCAGCCCCTGGTCATATTTTTAATACCAAGATGGGATTACAGGGAGATCAGTTTTTAAAAATCAGTGGAGGTATTCTCTTAAGCATTTCAAAGTTGTAAAAGTTGAAGTTAACTATCTGCAGCCTGTTTGGACGCCATAAAGAGAAGTCAGCCCCTAGCAAATTCAGTACTTAAATTCCTTCTTAGAGTGGAATTTTATCTGTGACAAATGGAAAGGCAGAAAGTACATTAAAGATGCATATTTATAACTTCATGAAATATAACTAATCCCTCTTGATTCTGTCTAATGGGGAGAAAGCAGACATGGGGAAGCAAGACAAAATTACAGAAGTCTTTTAGTTTTCTTCAAGAGCTATGATACCATGGCCAGGAGCAGTCATTCTCACCTGTAATCCCAGCACCCTCAAGGGAGGACCCCTTGAGCCTAGAGAAGTTTGAGACCAGCCTGAGCAAATTAGGGTGACCCTAATTCTACAAAAAAAAAATTTTTTTTGATTAGCTAGGCACAGTGACATGCACCTGTGCTCCCAGCTACTCAGGAAGCTGAGGTGGGAAGACTGCTTGAGGCCAGGAGGTCAAGGCTACAGTAAGAGGTGACTGAGCCACTGCACACAGCCTGGGTGACACAGTGAGACCCTGTCTTTAAAGACAAAAAAGCTTATGATACCTCAGCAGCCTAAGTTTTCTTAGTCCCTGGGTACACCTTTTAAAACACAGACTGGATTCCCACTCAGAACCTTCTAACGGTCCTTCACTACAAATGGAATAAAATACTCCAATCACACCTCATACTGGGTCCCTCACCTGACCCACTCAGGCACGAGAGGAATGCCGCACTATTCCTCCCTTTGCAAGAACAATTCTGTTCCTAGATCTTTATAAGGCACGCTCTTCCTTATTTAGGTTTCCTATCAAGTGTACCTCGTTAGCGACCATCTCTACTCACCTGACAAAATTTTGTTCCTACCCCAGGTCACCCAAAACGGTGTCATTGTTAATGCTATTTGTCTTCGTGACACTTAATACTACTGGAAATGACCATATTCTTTCATTTCCTTGTTTTTTGTCACCCCTTCCAGAGTGTAAGGTCTACGTTGAGGGCAAGGACTGCAGTTCAACACTATACCTCCCTAAATAGTGCCTTGAATATGGAAGGCAGTCAATTATCTGCTGAATAAATAACAAATGAATGCTGATCTGGAGGAGGGAGAGTTGTGTTACACAGGAACACTCTACTCAAGGACTGTGACTGTGACTGTGACTAAGGACTGAAACAAACTGCTAGCAATAGATGATTATCATAAACTTCAAACTGGCACTGGGCGCGGTGGCTTCACCTGTAATCCCAGCACTTTGGGAGGCTGAGGTGGGCGGATCACTTGAAATCAGGAGTTGGAGACCAGCCTAGGCAAGATGGGGAAACCCCGTCTCTACAAAAATTAGCCTGGTGTGGTGGCACACGCCTATAGTCCTTAGGTACTCAGGAGGCTGTGGTGGGAGAATTGCTCGAACCCGGGAAGCAGAGACTGCAGTGGGCCAAGATCGAGACACTGCACTCCAGCCTGGATGACAGTGAGAACCTGTCTCAAAAAAGACCGAAAGCAGGCTCTAGGCAGTTAACTTTTTAATAAAGAATAGTCATTTTACGTTTAGTGTTGACTGTTAGCTATTTTAATACAAAACTCTATTTCTTCCCTAACAAGAAAAGCACCATAACGTATTTATTGTTGATAAAATATACTCTCATAACATGCCTTACTGAATCTGATTAAAATATCACCATAATAGTTTAACAAAATTGTTCCCTAAGAGTTCAGCGTTCTCTTGAGTCCTGAGTAACGGGGACCAAAATTAGTGCTTATTATGTACCTACTGAGTTCACATCACACCAACAGAAAGTTGAGATGTTACCCACAATTTACAACTAAGAGAATCGAGACTCTCAGTTAAAATTAAAATCTAGGTGTTTGCTAATTCTAATTTTCATCGTGATATGTAAAAGTTATATCCATTGGTTTATTTTAAAAGGCTAAGTATAATTTTAAAAATCCAAACATTCTGAGATGTCCTTTGAGTACACTGATCAGGACTAAGTACTGCATCTGTCTTTGCTCCTCCTGGAACCGATACACACCTTACCTCCATCGCATTACCTTTGGGTTCGTTATGGCAGCCCCTCTTTTCATCAATAATATGTAGTCTTCTAATGCTGGCCTCCTCAACATGAGCGGCTTGCCGGAGGAACTCCTCAGTATCTGGCCAGGGAACTTCCCCACGATCTTGCTGAACGGGACTGCCCCCCAGTTACTATTTAAGAGTCCGACGTTACTCAACCTAAATAATTTCTTAAAGTGTGTGTCTCTCTCCCCAGTCTCAGCTAAAATCAGTTCCCCAGCCTGAAAGGGTCTCTCTCTGGAAGCTGAACAAGAAGGGGTGACATGAGGCTCTTCGACCTCGGCAGCGCACTGGGCCTGCGAGAGCATCGAGGGATCCTCGGATCCCTGGTGTGCGGGACCGCACCGGCCCTGGTCTCCGCTCGAGTCCTCGCGCTCTCGAGGGGATGACTCTTCCCGCGGCGTTGGAAGTCTGAGGCTTTCCTCTGACGAAAGACATCCAGTCCCAATGTCCGAGATGCTCAGAGGGAGAGATGGGCAAGACTCTGCTCCTGGGGCTTTCCTCTGTGCCGCCTCGTGCTCTCTTTCTCTATCTCTCGGATCTCTAGGCGAGGACCTGCAACACAGTGACCGAGCTCCCTCGAAGGGCTCTTGCCCCAGGCCGCGCAGGAATGAATTGGTTCCGAGACCCTGCCGCAGGGACAGCAAGAGAAGACCGCAACGCCGCACCATCAGCATAGCGTTTCGCGCAGGCGCCGTCGCAGACGAGTGACGCAGCTCCGCGCGACCACTCCTTTCCCTGTCGGGCGCACGGCGCAGCAGCCCGAGGCTCCTTCAGTGACGCAGGGCTCTACAGCTCTGCGCCTGCGCCTGCGTCGCCCATGGGTGGCCCGCCTAGTGGAGCAGGGGCGCCGGAGTCGCGGGAGTCGCGAGTTAGTGACTTTTCAAGGAGTATGTCCTCGCGTGCAGGCGCCCATGTTTCCTTTGGGAATGTGGGCAGAGGGAAGAATTTACCGCTAACAGACGTCTTCCAGGTTCGCTCGGGGACCGGAAGATTGAGAGGCAAAACTTGCCAAAGCGCTGTGCAAACTGTGAAGTCCCAGGCTTAGCTCGCTGTGTTCTTAAACACCGAAGTGACCTAGTCACCCCCAAGATGTATGAGTAGAGCTAACCCCGACATGCATTTGACAGACGGCGTGGGACGGGCTACTCGCTGACCGGCTCTCCTTTCCCAGTTAAGCGGGACATCCCCCAGCCCCAATTCCTTTTAGAACACCTGCCGGTGCCCTCACCCACCCCTCACGCTCGAGTCTGGGAAGGTCGATTCGAGTATTCACTATGTGCTTATGTAATAGATGTTTTAATTATTAAAATACAACTAGTTTACTTCCCAAAACTAAATAGAAGCGGCTTAAAATGGAAACAGATACCTTTGGAGTCCAAAGTTATTTAACATTCAATATCACTAGCTCCCCAGCATTTTGGAAGGTCTAGGCAGGCGGATCACTTAAGGTCAGGTGTTCGAGTCCAGCCTGGCCAACATGGTGAAACCTCGTTTCTACTAAAAATACAAAAATTAGCTGAGCGTGGTGGCTTGTGCCTGTAATCTGAGCTACTCGGGAAACTGAGGCAGGAGAATCGCTTGAACCCAGGAGGCAGAGGTTGTAGTGAGTCGACATCACGCCATTGCACTCCAGCCTGGGCGACAGAGAATCCATCCCGCGGGGGAAAAAATTAGTCGGGAGCGATGATGCACCCCTGTAAAACCAGCTACAAGGGAGGCTGAGGGACGAGAATAGCTTGAAACCTGGAGGCAGAGGTTGCAGTTAGCCAAAATGGAACCACCTTTGCACTCCAGCCTTCGTGGCACAGCAAAACTCTGTCTCAAAAAAAAAAAAAAAAAAAAAAAAAAAAAATCCCTAGCCTCTTTGCTGGACATTGGTTCACTGGGCAAAAGTTTATGGAGAGTCTGTTACAATTCTGTAGCAAAGCCACTTTATGAGTAAAAGAACTGGCCCAGGGAGATTAAATAATTTGGGCAAACAGGCATGTTAACTCACACCTGTAACCCCAACACTTTGGGAGGCCTAGGCCGAAGGATTGCTTGATCCCAGGAGTTCAAGGCCTACCTGTGCAATATAGGGAGATTGCCATCTACAAAAAAAAAATAATAATAATAATAAGTTGGTCAAGATCCATAGCTGACTAGTGGCATGACAGAGTTTCCTATTTTGTTAGTCTGGTTCAGCAACCCATGCTCTTTGTACTGTAACACTGTTTGGAAAGACTGGTCAACAGTACAATTGAACTTAAATATATATATATTTGGAATTTAAGTCATTACATTGCACTCCAGCCTGAGCGACTATACATATATATATATATATATATATATATATATATATATATATATTTGTGGTTTTTTAAATTTTTTCTTTGAGATGGAGTCTTGCTCTGACACTCAGGCTGGAGTGCAATGGTGCCATCTGGGATCACAGCAACTTCTGTCTCCCAGTTCAAGCTGTTCTCCTGCCTTAGCCTCCCGAGTAGCTGGGATTACAGGCACCCGCAACCACACCTGGCTAATTTTTGTATTTTTAGTAGAGACAGGGTTTCACCATGTTGGCCTGGTTGGTCTCAAACTCCTAACCTCGTGATCTCGTGATCTACCCTCCTCAGCCTCCCAAAGTGCCTGTGGTGCCCAGTTATTATTACTTTCTAAAATATAAATACTTTCTAATTGGTACTGTCTAGAACATCAGCCACCATAAACTCCATGAACAGGATTTCTCCCTTCCTCTTTTTCTTTCTTTTTTTTTTTTATTAAGAGGGGGTTTCACCATGTTGGTCAGGCTGGTCTTGAACTCCCGACCTCAGGTGATCCGCCTGCCTTGGCCTCCAAAGTGCTCGGATTACAGGCGTGAGCCACCACGCCTGGCCTCTTTCTTTCTTTTTTTTGAGACAGAGTCTCACTCTGTTGCCCAGGATGGAGTGCAGAGGCATGATCTCGGCTCACTGCAACCTTTGCCTCCCGGCTTCAAGCAATTCTCCTGTCTCAGTCTCCCGAGTAGCTGGAATGACAGGCATGCACCACCATACCCAGTTAACTTTTGTATTTTTAGTAGAGATGGGGTTTCACCATGTTGGCCAGGCTAGTCTCAAACTCTTGACCTCAGGTGATCCACCTACCTCAGCCTCCCAAAGTGCTCCAATTACAGGTGTGCACCACCGCACTGGGCCAGATTTCTCCCTGCTAATTCTAAAATGAATAAAGAAACTGCTCTTTCCACACCCCAACCGCATGTCTCACTTTAGGAAAAGTTCTCATGACCAATATTTTCTAGAGTCGTCGGCTTTTCTCACTACCTTTTCTTGTGTATATGTTGTTTAATGTAAAATAAATTGTTGAATGGGCGCGTGGCTCACACCTGTAAACCCAGCACTTTGGGAGGCCGAGGCAGGTGGATCACCTGAGGTCAGCAGTTCGAGACCAACCTGGCCAATATGGTGAAACCCCGTCTCCACTAAAAACAAACAAACAAACAAACAAAAAATTACCAGGCATGGTGGTGGGCACTTGTAATCCCAGGTACTCAGGAGGCTGAGGCACAAGAATCACTTGAACCTGAGAGGCGGAGGTTGCAGTGAGCCAAGATGATCCACCCGCCTGTGTCTCCCAAAGTGCTGGGATGACATCTGTAAGCCACTGCACCTGGCTCTGGCTAACTTTTACTTATTTATTTTTCTGGTAGAAAAGAGGTCTGACTATATTGTAAAAATGTTTTAATGTAATTAAAAAATATTAACCCACTTTTGTGCTATGATATCTAGTATTAATTTATGTTTTTTTTAACTGGCAGGGCTTCATATGTGAAATTTAATAAAAGAACATTACCAATGTGTTTCTTTCATGATCTTTATTATTATTTGTTTCATGTTGTGATTATTACTAAAAATATTTTTGTTTTATAGAGAAAGAGGTTGATTTAAAAAAAAGATGACCCACTCAGGTATTGAGTGTGCTAGCTACCACTGGAATGACTGGCTCTGGAACAGGCTCTTTTAATGCAGGGTGGGGAATGAAATGATTGCAATCTACATAGTGCTGACTCAGACAATTATTCCCTAAGCAGGTGGGGCTTGAGGTTGGGGGGACATCAAAAAAGACTTTCTTGTAATTTTTATGTTGATATAATCTCAAAAGCTGCATAAAGGTCTCCCATACCTGCTTTCCACATTCACCAACTGTTGACATTTTCATCCCTTTGCTTTTTCATTCTTTCTCTCTAGCTTTCCTTCTCCCTCTCCCTCTCCCACTCCGTCTTCCTCTCCTCCTCCCTGTCTTTCTCTATGCACACAACACACACATGAACATTTTTTTCTGAACCATTTGAAAGTAGATTAGAGATATGGCATCCCTTTACCCCTAAATACTTCAGTGGGTATATCCTAAGAACAAGAACATGTTCCCACCTAACACAGTACAGATTAATGCATTAAGGATATTTAACATTGTTAGCATGCTATTATTTAATCTATAGGCCACATTCAAATTTTGTCATTTTGCCTAATATCTTCCACAGTTTTTTCCAGCCTAGGGTCCAATCCAGGTTCACACATTTCATTTAGTTGTCATGCCTCTTTAGCCTTCTTTAATCCAGAAAAAACAGCTCCTCAGCCTTGCTTTATTTGATTGACCTTGACAGTTTTGAAGAGTACAGGTCAGTTGTTTCATAGAATTCTCCTCGCTTTTCGTTGACTGATGTTTCTTCCTGATTAGATTTGGATAATACATTTTTGGTAGAAATATCACTGAAGCCTGGGCACGGTGGCTCACACCTGCAATCCCAGCATGTTGAGAGGCTAAGGTGGGTGGATCACTTGAGCTCAGGAGTTTGAGACCAGCCTAAGCAACATGGTGAAACCCTGTCTCCACTAGAAATACAAAAATTAGCCAGTTTTGGTGGCACATGCCTGTAGTTCCAGCTACTTGGGAAGCTGAGGTGGGAGGATCACTTGAGCCCAAGAGGTTGAGGCTACACTCTAGCCTGGGTGACAGAGTAAGACTCTGTCTTAAAATAATAATAATAATAATAATAATAATAATAATAATAATCGGCTGGGTGCAGTGGCTCATGCCTGTAATCCCAGCACTTCGGGAAGCTGAGGTGGGCAGATCACCTGAGGTGGAGAGTTTGAGACCATCCTGGCTAACATGGAGAAAAACAGTCTCTACTAAAAGTACAAAATTAGGGGTGGTGGCACATGCCTATGATCCCAGCTACTTGGGAGGCTGAGGCAGAAGAATCGCTTGAAACCGGGAGGTGGAGATTGCAGAGAGCTGAGATTGTGCCGCTGCACTCCAGGGTGGACAAGAGGGAAACTGTGAAAGAAAGAAAAGAAGGAAAGAGAAGGGAGGGGAGGGGAGGGAAGAGGAGGGGAGGAAGGAAGAATAAGAAGGAAAGAGGGAAGGAAGGAGAAAGACTGGCTACTGAAGTTTTTCTTTCTAAGACGTCATACCAGGAGTCATATGTTACCAGTTTGTACCTATGTTGGTGAGGTTAACTTTGATTGCTTAGTTAAGTCAGAGTCATTCTAGTATCTGCACTGTAAACTTACTATTTTAACTTTGTAAATTAATAAGTTATTTATGGGAAGATACATTGAGGCTAGTTTTACACTCACTGATGATTCTGTATAATTAGCACTCTACTATAAAAAAATGATCTTAGGAAAGATTTTCCTTTTTTTCCTTAGGCTTCATTGAGGT